AGAGCAGAGGGGACGGGAAGGGACACCCTTTCCCTTTTCCCCATCCCCCTTTCCCTTTCCCCCATCCCCTTCCCAGCATCTCCCTTTCCCTTTCCCCCATCCCCTTCCCAGCATCTCCCTTTCCCTTTCCCCCATCCCCCTTCCCAGCATCCCCCTTTCCCTTTCCCCCATCCCCTTCCCAGCATCTCCCTTTCCCTTTCCCCCATCCCCTTCCCAGCATCTCCCTTTCCCTTTCCCCCATCCCCCTTCCCAGCATCCCCCTTTCCCTTTCCCCCATCCCCTTTCCAGCATCCCCCTTTCCCTTTCCCCCATCCCCCTTCCCAGCATCCCCCTTTCTCTTTCCCCCATCTCCATTTCCCTCCCACATTCCCCTCACCTTTCCTCCATCCCCCTTCCCTCTTCTCTTCCCCCATCCGCCTTCGCTATCCCACATCTGCCTCACCTTTTTCAACATCGCCCTTTCCCTTCTCCGGTCCACCTTCCCTTTACCCGGTACCTCCCCTCCTTCCCCGCATCCCACTTCCTCTTTATTTTCATATGTGCAGCGGCAGCACTAGCCATGGGCACATCAAAGCGACGGGAGTACCAGCATGCGAAGCTTCGGCAGAAGTTATGAATCGGGGGGGCCTTTTTCCCATCCCAGTTTATGAGCAGGGTTATGGTGTCCCTTGATTTTTTAATCCAACTTATGTTTCCAATAGTAACATGCAGTGCCAAAACTGTATAGATTAGACCATGCATGTTATTCCACTTTGATTATCCACGATTATTGTGTGCATGTTGTCTCTGGATAACCTGTTCGACATTTTTTTTTTCAAATTCCACCCTAAGTTGACTGGTGTTTGCTTTGTACAACACTTGCATATCAGCATTTTTTTTTATGGAACTGTACAGTGTACCAATGTAGAGGGTGTCACCCCCTCCCTTGTTGCGTGCCTTACAAGGATGGACCTGGGTGCTCGTCCGTGCGACATGCGAACCGCCGGTGCTGGTTCTGGTGGTGCCCCTCAAGCCTTTGCGCTTGGTTCGATACTGGTTTGGTTTTGTGCAGGTTTCGCGTGATACCTTTTCCTCGTCACAGACCAATTCGTGTCTCGCCAGCGAATCACATCTCCTCGACTCGGACCAAAGGTAATACGCTTGTAAATATGAGACGCAGGTTTTAAGCAGGTGGGAGGAAATGTATGTGGGGGATGAATGGAATTGTGCTGACCTGGAACCATCTGACGTGGCACTGATCTGGAACCATCTGACGTGGCAGTGACCTGGAACCATCTGACGTGGCACTGACCTGGAACCATCTGACGTGGCACTGACCTGGAACCATCTGACGTGGCACTGATCTGGAACCATCTGATGTGGCAGTGACCTGGAACCAACTGACGTGGCACTGACTTGGAACCATCTGACGTGGCACCGACCTGGAACCATCTGGCGTGGCAGTGACCTGGAACCAACTGACGTGGCACTGACTTGGAACCATCTGACGTGGCACTGACCTGGAACCATCTGCCATCCTCTGGCTGGTGGAACATGTATCGCACCACTGCCTTGCGCTTCATGACCGACACGGGGTAGCTGCGAGGAGGAAAGGAGTGAAAGGAAGTGAAAGGGTGAGAGCACATCTATAGGTGACAGTATGACCGGGTGGGTGGTGGAACGAACATGTGTCGCACCACTGCCTTGCGCTTCATGACCGACACGGGGTAGCTGCGAGGAGGAAAGGAGTGAAAGGAAGTGAAAGGGTGAGAGCACATCTATAGGTGACAGTATGACCGGGTGGGTGGTGGAACGAACATGTGTCGCACCACTGCCTTGCGCTTCATGACCGACACGGGGTAGCTGCGAGGAGGAAAGGAGTGAAAGGAAGTGAAAGGGTGAGAGCACATCTATAGGTGACAGTATGACCGGGTGGGTGGTGGAACGAACATGTGTCGCACCACTGCCTTGCGCTTCATGACCGACACGGGGTAGCTGCGAGGAGGAAAGGAGTGAAAGGAAGTGAAAGGGTGAGAGCACATCTATAGGTGACAGTATGACCGGGTGGGTGGTGGAACGAACATGTGTCGCACCACTGCCTTGCGCTTCATGACCGACACGGGGTAGCTGCGAGGAGGAAAGGAGTGAAAGGAAGTGAAAGGGTGAGAGCACATCTATAGGTGACAGTATGACCGGGTGGGTGGTGGAACGAACATGTGTCGCACCACTGCCTTGCGCTTCATGACCGACACGGGGTAGCTGCGAGGAGGAAAGGAGTGAAAGGAAGTGAAAGGGTGAGAGCACATCTATAGGTGACAGTATGACCGGGTGGGTGGTGGAACGAACATGTGTCGCACCACTGCCTTGCGCTTCATGACCGACACGGGGTAGCTGCGAGGAGGAAAGGAGTGAAAGGAAGTGAAAGGGTGAGAGCACATCTATAGGTGACAGTATGACCGGGTGGGTGGTGGAACGAACATGTGTCGCACCACTGCCTTGCGCTTCATGACCGACACGGGGTAGCTGCGAGGAGGAAAGGAGTGAAAGGAAGTGAAAGGGTGAGAGCACATCTATAGGTGACAGTATGACCGGGTGGGTGGTGGAACGAACATGTGTCGCACCACTGCCTTGCGCTTCATGACCGACACGGGGTAGCTGCGAGGAGGAAAGGAGTGAAAGGAAGTGAAAGGGTGAGAGCACATCTATAGGTGACAGTATGACCGGGTGGGTGGTGGAACGAACATGTGTCGCACCACTGCCTTGCGCTTCATGACCGACACGGGGTAGCTGCGAGGAGGAAAGGAGTGAAAGGAAGTGAAAGGGTGAGAGCACATCTATAGGTGACAGTATGACCGGGTGGGTGGTGGAACGAACATGTGTCGCACCACTGCCTTGCGCTTCATGACCGACACGGGGTAGCTGCGAGGAGGAAAGGAGTGAAAGGAAGTGAAAGGGTGAGAGCACATCTATAGGTGACAGTATGACCGGGTGGGTGGTGGAACGAACATGTGTCGCACCACTGCCTTGCGCTTCATGACCGACACGGGGTAGCTGCGAGGAGGAAAGGAGTGAAAGGAAGTGAAAGGGTGAGAGCACATCTATAGGTGACAGTATGACCGGGTGGGTGGTGGAACGAACATGTGTCGCACCACTGCCTTGCGCTTCATGACCGACACGGGGTAGCTGCGAGGAGGAAAGGAGTGAAAGGAAGTGAAAGGGTGAGAGCACATCTATAGGTGACAGTATGACCGGGTGGGTGGTGGAACGAACATGTGTCGCACCACTGCCTTGCGCTTCATGACCGACACGGGGTAGCTGCGAGGAGGAAAGGAGTGAAAGGAAGTGAAAGGGTGAGAGCACATCTATAGGTGACAGTATGACCGGGTGGGTGGTGGAACGAACATGTGTCGCACCACTGCCTTGCGCTTCATGACCGACACGGGGTAGCTGCGAGGAGGAAAGGAGTGAAAGGAAGTGAAAGGGTGAGAGCACATCTATAGGTGACAGTATGACCGGGTGGGTGGTGGAACGAACATGTGTCGCACCACTGCCTTGCGCTTCATGACCGACACGGGGTAGCTGCGAGGAGGAAAGGAGTGAAAGGAAGTGAAAGGGTGAGAGCACATCTATAGGTGACAGTATGACCGGGTGGGTGGTGGAACGAACATGTGTCGCACCACTGCCTTGCGCTTCATGACCGACACGGGGTAGCTGCGAGGAGGAAAGGAGTGAAAGGAAGTGAAAGGGTGAGAGCACATCTATAGGTGACAGTATGACCGGGTGGGTGGTGGAACGAACATGTGTCGCACCACTGCCTTGCGCTTCATGACCGACACGGGGTAGCTGCGAGGAGGAAAGGAGTGAAAGGAAGTGAAAGGGTGAGAGCACATCTATAGGTGACAGTATGACCGGGTGGGTGGTGGAACGAACATGTGTCGCACCACTGCCTTGCGCTTCATGACCGACACGGGGTAGCTGCGAGGAGGAAAGGAGTGAAAGGAAGTGAAAGGGTGAGAGCACATCTATAGGTGACAGTATGACCGGGTGGGTGGTGGAACGAACATGTGTCGCACCACTGCCTTGCGCTTCATGACCGACACGGGGTAGCTGCGAGGAGGAAAGGAGTGAAAGGAAGTGAAAGGGTGAGAGCACATCTATAGGTGACAGTATGACCGGGTGGGTGGTGGAACGAACATGTGTCGCACCACTGCCTTGCGCTTCATGACCGACACGGGGTAGCTGCGAGGAGGAAAGGAGTGAAAGGAAGTGAAAGGGTGAGAGCACATCTATAGGTGACAGTATGACCGGGTGGGTGGTGGAACGAACATGTGTCGCACCACTGCCTTGCGCTTCATGACCGACACGGGGTAGCTGCGAGGAGGAAAGGAGTGAAAGGAAGTGAAAGGGTGAGAGCACATCTATAGGTGACAGTATGACCGGGTGGGTGGTGGAACGAACATGTGTCGCACCACTGCCTTGCGCTTCATGACCGACACGGGGTAGCTGCGAGGAGGAAAGGAGTGAAAGGAAGTGAAAGGGTGAGAGCACATCTATAGGTGACAGTATGACCGGGTGGGTGGTGGAACGAACATGTGTCGCACCACTGCCTTGCGCTTCATGACCGACACGGGGTAGCTGCGAGGAGGAAAGGAGTGAAAGGAAGTGAAAGGGTGAGAGCACATCTATAGGTGACAGTATGACCGGGTGGGTGGTGGAACGAACATGTGTCGCACCACTGCCTTGCGCTTCATGACCGACACGGGGTAGCTGCGAGGAGGAAAGGAGTGAAAGGAAGTGAAAGGGTGAGAGCACATCTATAGGTGACAGTATGACCGGGTGGGTGGTGGAACGAACATGTGTCGCACCACTGCCTTGCGCTTCATGACCGACACGGGGTAGCTGCGAGGAGGAAAGGAGTGAAAGGAAGTGAAAGGGTGAGAGCACATCTATAGGTGACAGTATGACCGGGTGGGTGGTGGAACGAACATGTGTCGCACCACTGCCTTGCGCTTCATGACCGACACGGGGTAGCTGCGAGGAGGAAAGGAGTGAAAGGAAGTGAAAGGGTGAGAGCACATCTATAGGTGACAGTATGACCGGGTGGGTGGTGGAACGAACATGTGTCGCACCACTGCCTTGCGCTTCATGACCGACACGGGGTAGCTGCGAGGAGGAAAGGAGTGAAAGGAAGTGAAAGGGTGAGAGCACATCTATAGGTGACAGTATGACCGGGTGGGTGGTGGAACGAACATGTGTCGCACCACTGCCTTGCGCTTCATGACCGACACGGGGTAGCTGCGAGGAGGAAAGGAGTGAAAGGAAGTGAAAGGGTGAGAGCACATCTATAGGTGACAGTATGACCGGGTGGGTGGTGGAACGAACATGTGTCGCACCACTGCCTTGCGCTTCATGACCGACACGGGGTAGCTGCGAGGAGGAAAGGAGTGAAAGGAAGTGAAAGGGTGAGAGCACATCTATAGGTGACAGTATGACCGGGTGGGTGGTGGAACGAACATGTGTCGCACCACTGCCTTGCGCTTCATGACCGACACGGGGTAGCTGCGAGGAGGAAAGGAGTGAAAGGAAGTGAAAGGGTGAGAGCACATCTATAGGTGACAGTATGACCGGGTGGGTGGTGGAACGAACATGTGTCGCACCACTGCCTTGCGCTTCATGACCGACACGGGGTAGCTGCGAGGAGGAAAGGAGTGAAAGGAAGTGAAAGGGTGAGAGCACATCTATAGGTGACAGTATGACCGGGTGGGTGGTGGAACGAACATGTGTCGCACCACTGCCTTGCGCTTCATGACCGACACGGGGTAGCTGCGAGGAGGAAAGGAGTGAAAGGAAGTGAAAGGGTGAGAGCACATCTATAGGTGACAGTATGACCGGGTGGGTGGTGGAACGAACATGTGTCGCACCACTGCCTTGCGCTTCATGACCGACACGGGGTAGCTGCGAGGAGGAAAGGAGTGAAAGGAAGTGAAAGGGTGAGAGCACATCTATAGGTGACAGTATGACCGGGTGGGTGGTGGAACGAACATGTGTCGCACCACTGCCTTGCGCTTCATGACCGACACGGGGTAGCTGCGAGGAGGAAAGGAGTGAAAGGAAGTGAAAGGGTGAGAGCACATCTATAGGTGACAGTATGACCGGGTGGGTGGTGGAACGAACATGTGTCGCACCACTGCCTTGCGCTTCATGACCGACACGGGGTAGCTGCGAGGAGGAAAGGAGTGAAAGGAAGTGAAAGGGTGAGAGCACATCTATAGGTGACAGTATGACCGGGTGGGTGGTGGAACGAACATGTGTCGCACCACTGCCTTGCGCTTCATGACCGACACGGGGTAGCTGCGAGGAGGAAAGGAGTGAAAGGAAGTGAAAGGGTGAGAGCACATCTATAGGTGACAGTATGACCGGGTGGGTGGTGGAACGAACATGTGTCGCACCACTGCCTTGCGCTTCATGACCGACACGGGGTAGCTGCGAGGAGGAAAGGAGTGAAAGGAAGTGAAAGGGTGAGAGCACATCTATAGGTGACAGTATGACCGGGTGGGTGGTGGAACGAACATGTGTCGCACCACTGCCTTGCGCTTCATGACCGACACGGGGTAGCTGCGAGGAGGAAAGGAGTGAAAGGAAGTGAAAGGGTGAGAGCACATCTATAGGTGACAGTATGACCGGGTGGGTGGTGGAACGAACATGTGTCGCACCACTGCCTTGCGCTTCATGACCGACACGGGGTAGCTGCGAGGAGGAAAGGAGTGAAAGGAAGTGAAAGGGTGAGAGCACATCTATAGGTGACAGTATGACCGGGTGGGTGGTGGAACGAACATGTGTCGCACCACTGCCTTGCGCTTCATGACCGACACGGGGTAGCTGCGAGGAGGAAAGGAGTGAAAGGAAGTGAAAGGGTGAGAGCACATCTATAGGTGACAGTATGACCGGGTGGGTGGTGGAACGAACATGTGTCGCACCACTGCCTTGCGCTTCATGACCGACACGGGGTAGCTGCGAGGAGGAAAGGAGTGAAAGGAAGTGAAAGGGTGAGAGCACATCTATAGGTGACAGTATGACCGGGTGGGTGGTGGAACGAACATGTGTCGCACCACTGCCTTGCGCTTCATGACCGACACGGGGTAGCTGCGAGGAGGAAAGGAGTGAAAGGAAGTGAAAGGGTGAGAGCACATCTATAGGTGACAGTATGACCGGGTGGGTGGTGGAACGAACATGTGTCGCACCACTGCCTTGCGCTTCATGACCGACACGGGGTAGCTGCGAGGAGGAAAGGAGTGAAAGGAAGTGAAAGGGTGAGAGCACATCTATAGGTGACAGTATGACCGGGTGGGTGGTGGAACGAACATGTGTCGCACCACTGCCTTGCGCTTCATGACCGACACGGGGTAGCTGCGAGGAGGAAAGGAGTGAAAGGAAGTGAAAGGGTGAGAGCACATCTATAGGTGACAGTATGACCGGGTGGGTGGTGGAACGAACATGTGTCGCACCACTGCCTTGCGCTTCATGACCGACACGGGGTAGCTGCGAGGAGGAAAGGAGTGAAAGGAAGTGAAAGGGTGAGAGCACATCTATAGGTGACAGTATGACCGGGTGGGTGGTGGAACGAACATGTGTCGCACCACTGCCTTGCGCTTCATGACCGACACGGGGTAGCTGCGAGGAGGAAAGGAGTGAAAGGAAGTGAAAGGGTGAGAGCACATCTATAGGTGACAGTATGACCGGGTGGGTGGTGGAACGAACATGTGTCGCACCACTGCCTTGCGCTTCATGACCGACACGGGGTAGCTGTGAGAGGCATTCAGAGTGGAAGGGATAGCGGAGGGGTAGGGGAAAGGAAGAAGCGCGCGCGCCTGTATGTGAGAGCGTGTGTCGTCATTGTGAGTGGTGGACAGCATAAGTGCTGCACCCGGGGAGAAGAAAGCAAAGCACCAGTCAATCAACCTAACCAGCAACAACCTGGTGAGTCAATCAACCATTCCCATCAACTCAAATCATACAAGAGCCTCGTTACATAACACCACGTGCGCTTGCTCGTCTCGCAACTCACCCCGACAGAACAATCTTCTTCAAAATAATCCGATCGGGGTCCGGCCCTCTTAAAGCCCCCGTTGCCGCCAGCTGCAGCTCCTCCCCCTCCCCCACCACACTCCCCCCCACCACACTCCCTCCGCCCACAATCCCTGCCCCCACACCCTCTCCTGCGTGCTGATTGGCCGCAGACGGGTCGGCGAAGACGAGCAGGGGGAGCGGCGGGAAGAGTGTGGGCGCGAAGATGGAAGCTACCGCGAACCTTCCCGGGTGCAGAAAGCGCTCGAACTTGTGCTTGTCGAGGTTGATGTCGTCCGTTGAGAAGGTGGGGCTGGGGGGGGAAGAAGGGGGGGGGGGGGGAGGAGGTGGGGGGACAATGGTTCAGTACATATCACAGCTTCAGCTGTTCGGGTGCTTCTAGACTTGTGCTTGTCGAGATTGATGTCGCCCGTTGGAGAAGGTTGGGCTGGGGAGGGGGTAAGAACTTGGAAGGTGGAAGGGGGCAGAGGGGGGAGGGTGGGGAGGGAAGAAGAGGACGGAAGGACAGTGGCTGAATGCAAATCACAGCTTGAACTTGTGTTTCACGACCAGAGCTTGTCGCGGTCTGATGTCGTCTGTGGAAGGGGCTGAAAAGGGTGGGAGGGGGTGGTTATTGTCATCTCTGAGGTCTCTCGTGCTGCACTCCCCCCCACCAGCAGCAGCAGGCGCACTGACCGTGTGTGGACCACCCCTATCAACAGCACCGCACTGCATGGCACTCACCGAGTGTAGAAGCGGCGAAAACCACACCGTCCGCAGCACCATTCCACAAGCACCAGCAGCACCACCAGCAGCAGCAGCAGCAGCCGCAACCACCACTCACCGAGTGTAGAAGCGTCGGAAGCCGCAGTGGAAGAGGAGGCGCTGCTTGGACTTGATGGGGGCGGCGAAGGCGTCGGCCTTTTTGACCGAAAAGTGCAGCACCGTCATGCGCGTCTCGTGCTGCAGCAGCCCCGTCACGACAAGTGGCAGCCCGCGATTGGCCGCCTCATGCTTGAGGCGCTCTGTGCAAGGGAGGTGGGGGAGCAGGGAGGGGAGATGGGAGGGGATTGGGGGAAAGAGAGGGGAAGGGGGTGGAGCTGAAAGAACCTAGGAAGGAAAAACAAGGATATTGGGGATTCACAAGGCGTTCGTGAATAAAGTAAGGACCGTGTGATCGGGACCGTGTGATCGGGACCGTGTGATCGGGACCGTGTGATCGGGACCGTGTGATCGGGACCGTGTGATCGGGACCGTATGATGAGGACCGTGTGATCGGTAGGGTTGAGCACCGGGCGGGCTGGGCCCGGCCCGGGTCGGGCCCACCCCGGGCTGCGCAAAAAAGCGGGCCGGGCCGGCCCGGCCCGACCCGGGCCGTAGAAGCAAACTCTTGGCCCGAGCCCACCCTTAAGGCGGGCGGGCCGTGCCCGGCCCGACCCGGGCTCTGTGGCCCGACCCGGGCCGGGCCGGCCCGGCCCGGGTGCTATCATAATCGCCCACAGGATGTATTTTTGGGCTGTTTCTGTTGTATTTTTGAGCTCCGATGCGGCCCGGCCCGGCCCAGCCCGTACATGGGCAGGCCAAAATTGGGCGGCTGCGGCCCGGCGGGCCGGACCAGCCCAGCCCGCCCCGGGCCCACGTCGAAATTATGATGCCCGGCCCGGGGCATTTCCGGGCGGGCCCTGGCCCGCCTTCATGCTCATCCCTAGTGATCGGGACCGTGTGATCAGGACCGTGTGATCGGGAATACTGAAAGCAAGGTGTACACGAGATTTTGGGGTTAATGAATTAATTCTGCTAAGTGTTTCATGCACACACCACACCAATGCACACTGCCAATTTGCCAAACACATGAACATACAAAAAAAGACATCATCAATAAATAAGGTTCGTAAAGTTTGTATTGTACCTGCTTCGGAGCACGGCACGTTCATAATGTGCAACCTGACAAATGTCCCCGCCCCAACCGACCCCGGCACCTCGCCCCGGTCCACCGCTGCCGCCCGCTCCTCCGCAGCCTTGTGCGTCCTCTTCCAGTTGTCAAAGGAGAATATGCGCGCGTACTCAGGGGGGAGGGACCCCTGTGGGCAACAGTGGGGGGATTGTAGGGAGGGAGGGGGTTGGGGTTTAGTGAAGGGATTGTGAGAGATGCCACACTGCTGTCCTCTCCCCTTGTTGACTTGTGCGTCCTCTTCCAGTTGTCAAAGGAGAAGATGCGTGCGTACTCAGGGGGGAAGGGACTCCTGTGGGCGGCAGAGGGGGGATTGGGTTGGGGGAAGGGGGGAGGGGAGGGGGGTTTGGTGTAGTAAAAAGAATGTAAGAGATGCCGTACTGCTGCCCTTTCCCCTGTTGGCTAAGCTTGTGCGTCCTCTTCCAGTTGTCAAAGGACAAAATGCGCGCGTACTCAGGGGGGGGAGGGGGGGGACTCCTGTGGGCGGCAGAGGGGAGGTTGGGTTGGTGGGAGGGGGAGGGAAGGGGAGGGAGGGGAAGGGGTTGTTTGTTAAGGGAATGTGAGGCATGGTATGGTACTTCTGTACCATGCTGTACCATACCATACCATGCTGTACCATACCATACCATGCTGTACCATACCATACCATGCTGTACCATACCATACCATGCCGTACCATACCATACCATGCTGTACCATACCATACCATGCTGTACCATACATACCATACCATGCTGTACCATACCATACCATGCTGTACTGCTGTCCTCTCCCCTTGTTGGCTAGTGCGTCCTCTTCCAGTTGTCAAAGGAGAAGATGCGCGCATACTCAGGGGGGAGGGACTGCTGCGGTCGGCACCTGACAGCACCGCACACAACACCTTGACAAGACACGGCTACGATAGCAGAAACTCACCTTGGGTGCCCAAAGCAATGCCCTGAGTAGCTTGAGAGCCCGCGTTCCTTGGCAAGGCTATGAGGCAAGTACGAGCAGCACACTGTACAGCACCGCACAGAAGACCACACAGCCCCTGGGAGAGCAACACTGCAGCAGCACACCAAAGCAGCACATCATACCGCACAGTGCACACCGCACATCACCGTGCAGTACCTTGGGGTCCCACGGCGAGGAGCGGAAGGACTTGAGCCCGCGGTACTTGGCAAAGCGCTGCCGTGCTGGGATGTCATCAGGCGTGTCCACCTCGTCAGGGAACTCTGGAGCAGAAGGAGCAGGGACATAGATGGGATGGGGGAGAGTGGGAATGGGGGAGGTTTGGATGGGGAAGAGTGGGAATGGGGGAGGTTTGGATGGGGAAGAGTGGGAATGGGGGAGGTTTGGATGGGGAAGAGTGGGAATGGGGGAGGTCCGGATGGGGAATGTGAGGTTGGCAAAGCGTTGCCTTGCCGGGCTGGGATGTTGTGAGGCGTGTCGACCTCGTACGGGAACTCTGCTTGTCGTGGAATGGGAGGATGGGGACAGAGGAAATGGCCCTCCATTTCCTCTGAGGTAGCAGAGTTTGGCAAAGCGATGGCGGGCTGGGATGTCGTGAGGGGTGTCCACCTGGTCCGGGAACTCTGGGGTGTGTGGCGATTACAGGGACACCAGAAAAAAGAGGAACGGAGAGGAACGGAGAGGAACTGAGAGGAACTGAGAGGAACGGAGAGGAACGGAGAGGAACTGAGAGGAACGGAGAGGAACGGAGAGGAACTGCGAGGAACGGAGAGGAACGGAGAGGAACTGAGAGGAACGGAGAGGAACGGAGAGGAACTGAGAGGAACGGAGAGGAACGGAGAGGAACTGAGAGGAACGGAGAGGAACGGAGAGGAACTGAGAGGAACGGAGAGGAACTGAGAGGAACGGAGAGGAACTGAGAGGAAGCTTCTGTGATGGTACGAAACAAAGTGCTGCCTGGAATCGTCTGAACTGATCGCTTTCTTGGGGGACACTTGGGTATCAAAATATGGCTATCACTTGTTTCCTGCACAGATTGGCTTTCTTGGGGAGTTTGGGTGGTCAGCCAACTAAACCTACCCTAGTTTGAGGTTGGGCTTTAAGCTTGAGTTAGAAGATTATTCCCCCTAGATAGTACCAGCTCATTATGACAACAATTACTTTCCCCTTCCCCGTAACCATAGCTCACTCACTCTACCGTCGTACACAGCACACCTTGGCTTGGCTTGGCCCTACTGCTGATGCGCCCTCGGCCGCTTCATCTCCTCCCAATGTGCTCAAACTGAGACAGTCACCTACGCCTACCTACAAGCAAGCTCATCTCACCATGCCCTACACTGCACACCCTGACCTGACAGAATCCCACACATGCCAATCTACCCTGAAGCTCATCTTATCTTATCCATGCTCTACACTACACGCCTTGAATCTCACACCTCACCACACCACACCACACCACACCACACCCACCCTGGTCCTCCTGCTGTTGCGCCCGCAGCCGCTTCATCTCCTCCCACTGCGCTCGCGCCCTCTTCTCCGCCTCCCCCTCTGCATCATCCTCCTCCTGCCACAAACATGGGGAGGGATGCGAGGGGAAGGGAGAGGGATTGTTCTTATTAACCTGCATCGCCTTCATTGTACCACAAACACAGGATTAGGATGAGAGGTGGAAGGTGGATGAGAGGTGGGAAAGAAGGGATGGAAGGGAGCCGCAGGGAGGCTCAACACTTGGCAGGAATGAAAGCAGCACGCAGGCACCATGAGCCCATTGTGGGTGCTGCCTCCCTCGAGCAGGGAGGCAGCACCCACCAAAGGAAGGTGGATGAGAGGTGGGAGAGAAGGGATGAGGGTGCCACGCAGGGAGCCATAGGGAGAGGCGAGGGGCACAACATCAGGAATGAAAGCAGCACGCACCATGAGCCCATCGTGGGAATGAAAGCAGCACGCACCATGAGCCCATCGTGGTTTTTGAGTCGACTCAAAAGCTGAAAGCAGCACGCACCATGAGCCCATCGTGGGTGCTGCCTCCCTCGAGCCTCTCCCCTCCCACTCCCTCATCCTCATCCACCTCCTCCCAATCACTCCCAGACCCTTCCTCCTCCTCCTCCTCGGCTCCTCCCTGCTCCCCCCCATCCTCATATCTCTCCTCTCCCTCCTCCATCGCCTCCTCTCCCTCCTCTCCCTCCTCCTCATCCTCCTCTTCCCCCTCGCTCTCCTCCTCTTGACCAGCTGCCAGCCATGCCGCCTGCAACAACACAAACAAGCAACACAACATGTTTGCGTGCTTATCATTAAGCTCACAGAAATATTAGGGGACCCCATCAAATCCTCTCAAACAGCTTGCCGCGACGAAAGTCGACACAAAGCAGCAAAGCAAAATGGAGGTGGTGGGGGGGGGGACTTTTGAGGCGACTCAAAGGTCACCTCGGTGGGGCGGGACAGAGGGTTTGGCAGCATCGCATAACAGAGGAAGCAAGCAAGCAAAGAAAATGCTATCGATTATCAATGCAGCGTAGGTGTCACTCCGTGGCGCCTCAACAGACGAACGAATACCCTTCACAACGGTATGAGAGCATCACAGCGGCATCGGAGCATACCTGGTAGCTAGAGGTTCCTTTGGGCACTCAGATGCGCCTGGCCCCACCCCTTTTGTTAGACTATAGCATGTATATGGCTAGACCTAACATTGTACACCCAAATCATGGGTGTACACATTTAGGAAGACTCCCAACTTTTGGCTGGGTTTCCACAACCCAAATGACCATTATTGTTGGGGAGCCAACATTGGTGGTGAAACCCTCCGATGTTTGGCTCCTCCAATAATTGGCGCAACCTCAGTTATTGGGGTGGACCCCCACCACATTGGTCAGCCATGGTGGAGGGTAACCCTAACTTTGGTCACTCACCTCATGCACCATTTCTACTGCTCTTCTTTCTCAATATACCTACACTCGATTTTCTCACACCTTCCCCTCCTGAGTCGACTCAAAAGCATCACAGCGGCATCGGAGCATACCTGGTAGCTGGAGGTTCCTTTGGGCACCCGAATGCGCCTGGCCCCACCCTTCCCCTCCTTCCCTCCCCCCCCTCCCAGGGCCTTGCTCTCTGCTCTCCTCCTCTCCTCCGCCTCTGCTGCTGCCATTTCTTCCTCTGTCGGCCATGTCTGTGGGAGGTGAGGGGGACGAAGGGGAGGAGGGGAGGGAGGGAGTGGGTGGGGAGCGAGGTTGGAGTGGGGGGAGAGGGAGGAAGGGAAGGGGGGGAGGAGGGGAGGGAGGCGTGCAGGAAGACGGGGATGGATGGGGTTGTGTTGTGTGCACTAAGGGAAGAAGGAGAGGAAGGTTTACTCCCGGTGCACACAACACAACCCCATGGTGCAAACAATCACATCTATAAACGTTGACACCTTGTCTGCTGCTGCTGCTGTCACAATCAATCACATGCAGGCTGTGCTGTCGTGCTCTAAACTCCCCCTCCTCCTCCGCCTCTGCTCTTCCCGTCCCTCCTACATCATCTGTGCATGCAGTGCAACGAGTGGCGGGTCATGAGCATTGAGTGTGTGTGGTTCACAACAAGTAAGCGCGTCCATCAACTCAACGTGCTGTTTCACCTCCCACACCCCCACCTCACGTGCGCTCGTCTCGTCCCCTTGCTCTCACCTCTTCGCCCGCCCCCTCCCTGCCAACCAACCGCACCTTTTCACCAAACCAACCCCCCCTCTCCCCCCCCCCTTCCAACCGCACCTGTTCGCCGGCCAGCAGATCAAGTGTGTTGAGCACCATACAAGGGGATCCCTCACCTCCCCTCTTCCCTTCTCCCCCTTCCCTGCTCTACCCCATTCTTTCCTCCCTCTCAACCACATCTCACCTGTTCGCCAGCCAGCGGGTCAGGCGTATTGAGCAATGAGCACCACAAGGGGATCCCTTAACTCAGCACTCGATGGTTTCCCTCCTCCTCCGCTTCCCCCTCCTCCCATTTCTTCTCCTCACCAGTTCGCCGGCCAGGAGGTCCAGTGTGTTGAGTTGAGCACCACAAGGGGATCCCTTCCCTCACCTCCCCACAACGTGCCGTGTCATCACATCACCCACCCACCCACCCTCCCACCCACCCACCCACCCACCCACCCACCCACCTACGTGCTCTCACCTCTTCACTCGCGCTAAAGGTGCCCTCGCAACCGCACCTGTTCGCCAGCCAGCGGGTCAGGTGTGTTGAGCACCACAAGGGGATCCCTCAGCTCTGCACTCGACCGAGCCAGCACCCTCACTCCCCCCTCCTCCTCCTCCTCCCCCTCTTCCTCCACTTCCCCCTCCTCCCCCTCCTCTACCTCCTCCCCCTCCTCTACCTCCATTCCCTCTTTCGTCTTTGCCCCCCCTTTCCTCCTCTCCTTCCCCTTGCTCCCACCGCCTCTCCCCCCCGGCCTCCCATGCTCGCCAGCAGCACAGGGATCGGGCACTTGGTCGATTTGAGCCAGCTGAAAGTCCCCTACTCCTGTGATGTGCACCTGCGCGGGGAAAGGAGAGGAAGGGAGGGGTGACAGACGTCACAGACGTCACAGACAGAGGAAGGGAAGGAGAGGAAGGGAGGGGTGACAGACGTCACAGACGTCACAGACAGAGGAAGGGAAGGAGAGGAAGGGAGGGGTGACAGACGTCACAGACAGAGGAAGGGAAGGAGAGGAAGGGAGGGGTGACGGACGTCACAGACAGAGGAAGGGAAGGAGAGGAAGGGAGGGGTGACAGACGTCACAGACAGAGGAAGGGAAGGAGAGGAAGGGAGGGGTGACAGACGTCACAGACAGAGGAAGGGAAGGAGAGGAAGGGAGGGGTGACAGACGTCACAGACAGAGGAAGGGAAGGAGAGGAAGGGAGGGGTGACAGACGTCACAGACAGAGGAAGGGAAGGAGAGGAAGGGAGGGGTGACAGACGTCACAGACAGAGGAAGGGAAGGAGAGGAAGGGAGGGGTGACAGACGTCACAGACAGAGGAAGGGAAGGAGAGGAAGGGAGGGGTGACAGACGTCACAGACAGAGGAAGGGAAGGAGAGGAAGGGAGGGGTGACAGACGTCACAGACAGAGGAAGAAAAGGAGAGGAAGGGAGGGGTGACAGACGTCACAGACAGAGGAAGGGAAGGAGAGGAAGGGAGGGGTGACAGACGTCACAGACAGAGGAAGGGAAGGAGAGGAAGGGAGGGGTGACAGACGTCACAGACAGAGGAAGGGAAGGAGAGGAAGGGAGGGGTGACAGACGTCACAGACAGAGGTAGGGAAGGAGAGGAAGGGAGGGGTGACAGACGTCACAGACAGAGGAAGGGAAGGAGAGGAAGGGAGGGGTGACAGACGTCACAGACAGAGGAAGGGAAGGAGAGGAAGGGAGGGGTGACAGACGTCACAGACAGAGGAAGGGAAGGAGAGGAAGGGAGGGGTGACAGACGTCACAGACAGAGGTAGGGAAGGAGAGGAAGGGAGGGGTGACAGACGTCACAGACAGAGGAAGGGAAGGAGAGGAAGGGAGGGGTGACAGACGTCACAGACAGAGGAAGGGAAGGAGAGGAAGGGAGGGGTGACAGACGTCACAGACAGAGGAAGGGAAGGAGAGGAAGGGAGGGTGACAGACGTCACAGACAGAGGAAGGGAAGGAGAGGAAGGGAGGGGTGACGGACGTCACAGACAGAGGAAGGGAAGGAGAGGAAGGGAGGGTGACAGACGTCACAGACAGAGGAAGGGAAGGAGAGGAAGGGAGGGGTGACAGACGTCACAGACAGAGGAAGGGAAGGAGAGGAAGGGAGGGGTTGACAGACGTCACAGACAGAGGAAGGGAAGGAGAGGAAGGGAGGGGTGACAGACGTCACAGACAGAGGAAGGGAAAGGAGAGGAAGGGAGGGGTGACAGACGTCACAGACAGAGGAAGGGAAGGAGAGGAAGGGAGGGGTGACAGACGTCACAGACAGAGGAAGGGAAGGAGAGGAAGGGAGGGGTGGACAGACGTCACAGACAGAGGAAGGAAGGAGAGGAAGGGAGGGGTGACAGACGTCACAGACAGAGGAAGGGAAGGAGAGGAAGGGAGGGGTGACAGACGTCACAGACAGAGGAAGGGAAGGAGAGGAAGGGAGGGGTGACAGACGTCACAGACAGAGGAAGGGAAGGAGAGGAAGGGAGGGGTGACAGACGTCACAGACAGAGGAAGGGAAGGAGAGGAAGGGAGGGGTTGACAGACGTCACAGACAGAGGAAGGGAAGGAGAGGAAGGGAGGGGTGACAGACGTCACAGACAGAGGAAGGAAAAGGAGAGAAGGGAGGGGTGACAGACGTCACAGACAGAGGAAGGGAAGGAGAGGAAGGGAGGGGTGAGACGTCACAGACAGAGGAAGGAAGGAGAGGAAGGGAGGGGTGACAGACGTCACAGACAGAGGAAGGAAAGGAGAGGAAGGGAGGGGTGACAGACGTCACAGACAGAGGAAGGAAAGGAGAGGAAGGGAGGGGTGACAGACGTCACAGACAGGGAAGGGAAGGAGAGGAAGGGAGGGGTGACAGACGTCACAGACAGAGGAAGGGAAGGAGAGGAAGGGAGGGGTGACGGACGTCACAGACAGAGGAAGGGAAGGAGAGGAAGGGAGGGGTGACAGACGTCACAGACAGAGGAAGGGAAGGAGAGGAAGGGAGGGGTGACAGACGTCACAGACAGAGAAGGGAAGGAGAGGAAGGGAGGGGTGACAGACGTCACAGACAGAGGAAGGGAAGGAGAGGAAGGGAGGGGTGACAGACGTCACAGACAGAGGAAGGGAAGGAGAGGAAGGGAGGGGTGACAGACGTCACAGACAGAGGAAGAGAAGGAGAGGAAGGGAGGGGTGACAGACGTCACAGACAGAGGAAGGGAAGGAGAGGAAGGGAGGGGTGACAGACGTCACAGACAGAGGAAGGGAAGGAGGAGAGGAAGGGAGGGTGACAGACGTCACAGACAGAGGAAGGGAAGGAGAGGAAGGGAGGGGTGACAGACGTCACAGACAGAGGAAGGGAAGGAGAGGAAGGGAGGGGTGACAGACGTCACAGACAGAGGAAGGGAAGGAGAGGAAGGGAGGGGTGACAGACGTCACAGACAGAGGAAGGGAAGGAGAGGAAGGGAGGGGTGACAGACGATCACAGACAGAGGAAGGGAAGGAGAGGAAGGGAGGGGTGACGGACGTCACAGACAGAGGAAGGGAAGGAGAGAAGGGAGGGGTGACAGACGTCACAGACAGAGGAAGGAAGGAGAGGAAGGGAGGGGGACAGACGTCACAGACAGAGGAAGGGAAGGAGAGGAAGGGAGGGGTGACAGACGATCACAGACAGAGGAAGGAAGGAGAGGAAGAGGAGGTGACGGACGTCACAGACAGAGGAAGGGAAGGAGAGGAAGGGAGGGGTGACAGACGTCACAGACAGAGGAAGGGAAGGAGAGGAAGGGAGGGGTGACAGACGTCACAGACAGAGGAAGGAAAGGAGAGGAAGGAGGGGTGACAGACGTCACAGACAGAGGAAGGGAAGGAGAGGAAGGGAGGGGTGACAGACGTCACAGACAGAGGAAGGGAAGGAGAGGAAGGGAGGGTGACAGACGTCACAGACAGAGGAAGGGAAGGGAGAGGAAGGGAGGGGTGACAGACGTCACAGACAGAGGAAGGGAGGAGAGGAAGGGAGGGGTGACAGACGTCACAGACAGAGGAAGGAAGGAGAGGAAGGGAGGGGTGACAGACGTCACAGACAGAGGAAGGGAAGGAGAGGAAGGGAGGGGTGACAGACGTCACAGACAGAGGAAGGGAAGGAGAGGAAGGGAGGGGTGACAGACGTCACAGACAGAGGAAGGGAAGGAGAGGAAGGGAGGGGTGACAGACGTCACAGACAGAGGAAGGGAAGGAGAGGAAGGGAGGGGTGACAGACGTCACAGACAGAGGGAAGGGAAGGAGAGGAGGGAGGGGTGACAGACGTCACAGACAGAGGAAGGGAAGGAGAGGAAGGGGGGGGTGACAGACGTCACAGACAGAGGAAGGGAAGGAGAGGAAGGGAGGGGTGACAGACGATCACAGACAGAGGAAGGGAAGGAGAGGAAGGGAGGGGTGACAGACGTCACAAACAGAGGAAGGGAAGGAGAGGAAGGGAGGGGTGACAGACGTCACAGACAGAGGAAGGGAAGGAGAGGAAGGGAGGGGTGACAGACGTCACAGACAGAGGAAGGGAAGGAGAGGAAGGGAGGGGTGACAGACGTCACAGACAGAGGAAGGGAAGGAGAGGAAGGGAGGGGTGACAGACGTCACAGACAGAGGAAGGGAAGGAGAGGAAGGGAGGGGTGACAGACGTCACAGACAGAGGAAGGGAAGGAGAGGAAGGGAGGGGTGACAGACGTCACAGACAGAGGAAGGGAAGGAGAGGAAGGGAGGGGTGACAGACGTCACAGACAGAGGAAGGGAAGGAGAGGAAGGGAGGGGTGACAGACGTCACAGACAGAGGAAGGGAAGGAGAGGAAGGGAGGGGTGACAGACGTCACAGACAGAGGAAGGGAAGGAGAGGAAGGGAGGGGTGACAGACGTCACAGACAGAGGAAGGGAAGGAGAGGAAGGGAGGGGTGACAGACGTCACAGACAGAGGAAGGGAAGGAGAGGAAGGGAGGGGTGACAGACGTCACAGACAGAGGAAGGGAAGGAGAGGAAGGGAGGGGTGACAGACGTCACAGACAGAGGAAGGGAAGGAGAGGAAGGGAGGGGTGACAGACGTCACAGACAGAGGAAGGGAAGGAGAGGAAGGGAGGGGTGACAGACGTCACAGACAGAGGAAGGGAAGGAGAGGAAGGGAGGGGTGACAGACGTCACAGACAGAGGAAGGGAAGGAGAGGAAGGGAGGGGTGACAGACGTCACAGACAGAGGAAGGGAAGGAGAGGAAGGGAGGGGTGACAGACGTCACAGACAGAGGAAGGGAAGGAGAGGAAGGGAGGGGTGACAGACGTCACAGACAGAGGAAGGGAAGGAGAGGAAGGGAGGGGTGACAGACGTCACAGACAGAGGAAGGGAAGGAGAGGAAGGGAGGGGTGACAGACGTCACAGACAGAGGAAGGGAAGGAGAGGAAGGGAGGGGTGAATGGGTGCACGAATAGGAGCAGCAGGGGGTCTACACAACGGGACCACAGTGGATATGGACGGATGAGTAAGAAGAAGGCAGAAAAGGCGTCTAAGTACAGACGCACAATGCCACATGGGCACACACAATGCCACATGGGCACACACAATGCCACATGGGCACACACAATGCCACATGGGCACACACAATGCCACATGGGCACACACAATGCCACATGGGCACACACAATGCCACATGGGCACACACAATGCCACATGGGCACACACAATGCCACATGGGCACACACAATGCCACATGGGCACACACAATGCCACATGGGCACACACAATGCCACATGGGCACACACAATGCCACATGGGCACACACAATGCCACATGGGCACACACAATGCCACATGGGCACACACAATGCCACATGGGCACACACAATGCCACATGGGCACACACAATGCCACATGGGCACACACAATGCCACATGGGCACACACAATGCCACATGGGCACAGCTGAGTTCCCCCTTAGAGTTTCCACTCGTGAAGATTCTCCTCACCACCTCATCCCCCTCACGATCTCCTCACCAGCTGGTTCACGTTGATCCCGTGGCCGCGCACATAGCCAACCACCCGCAACGTGCCACATGTCGCGCTCTTAGCAGCTGCTGCAGAACCTGCGTCGCCTGCGCCGGGGATGAAGTCAAACTGGCGGCGAGAGAGAGAGAGAGGGAGAGGGAGAGAGAGAGGGAGGGGGAGAGAGAGAGAGAGAGAGAGAGAGAGGGAGAGAGAGAGGGAGAGGGAGAGGGAGCGAGGGGCTCAACACGAGTGGATGCCATGCCATATGGGCTAAGCCGCTAAGGGGAGGAAGGGAAGCAGATGCTACCGTTTCACAGGAAAGGGGAAATGTAGCGAGGTGTGCATGCGTGCGTGCGTGCGTGCGTGCGTGCGCGCGCTTGTGTGATGGCAAAGACACAAAGGGCTCACATTGTGTGCCACGAGGTAGGGGCGGTGTGTGCGCCAGCCAGGAGTGACGGGACGATGCTCTGCTATGTGTCGCACCACCTGCACCGGGCGCAAGGGGAGGAGGAGAAGCGAAGCAGGGAATGGTTCGAGACTAGTTCTGGGGCGCCCCAACATACGCTCTCTCTGAGATCTGCCACACCACCCGCAGCAGGGTCGCGGGGAGGAGAGATAAGCAGGGGAAAATATGAGACAGTTGGAAACAGGAAGGGGAGATTGGCATCAGGGAAGAGTGAGAGTGGAAAAGGAAAAGGTCCATACAAAGGAAACAATAATACGAACTGATTTTCCCACCCTCCCTGAGAAAAAAAAAAAAAAAAAAAAAAAAAAAAAAACGAATAAAAAAGAAGAAGAAAATATATTCCAGTTTTTTTATCAGCCTATTCCTCTTGGCTCCTTCAACCTCACAAACCAGCATCAACCTCCCCTCCCATCCAACCGAACCAACTCACCGGTACCATCTCTGCGAGCGAGTCGACTGCAAGCAAGCACATGATTGGAGCATGGACCAACCACCCACCTACTTTTGTTGTCTTGGTGCCTGGTGGCCTCCCCTCCCATCCAGCCGAACCAACTCACCGGTGCCATCTCTGCGAGCGAGTCAACGGCAAACACATGGCACGTGCCTTTGGGGAACTCCCCTCCCAGCAACGCCAGAGCCGCCTTCCTGTGCTCCCCGTGCCTCTTCCCGTCCGCGCCTCCCGCCTTCTGCTGCCCCCCCTGGCCCTGCTGCTGCTGGATCAACGAGCCCATGGAAGCTCCAAAGAGCGCAGACGCGGAGGAGGAGGAGGGAGCGAGCGAGGCGGCAGCAAAAGCTGGAGAGGAGGAGGCAGGGGAGGAGAGGCTGGAAGCGAGGGCGACCTGGAGAGGCAAGCCCTGCGCCCGCGCCACAGAGAGAGCTGAGCGGCCCCAGTCGTCAATGTAGGCCGCAGCAGAGGGGGAGGAGGAGGAGGAGGATTTGTTGGTGGTGGTGGTGCGGAGGGAGTGAGTGTGGGAGTGTGAGGTGGTGTGGGTGTGGAGGGAGGAGGTGGAGAGGGCTGATGGTGTGGAGGGGGGGAGGGGGTCAATAGGAGCGATTGTAGACGCGAAGATGACCACGTCTGCGATCTGGGAGGGGGAAGGGGGGGTGGGTGGGGGAGTGGGGGGGTGAGGGGCGGGGGGTTGAGGGGCGGGGGGTTGAGGGTTATGAGGTGAGCATTGAGTGATGTAAGGAGTCATCTCAATTGCAGGCGGAAAAGTTACCACGTCTGCGATCCGGGAGAAGGGGGGGCACGTGCCTTCTTGGCAAGCTTTGGTCGTTCAGTCAGTCAGTCAGTCAGTCAGTCAGTCAGTCAGTCAGTCAGTCAGTCAGTCAGTCAGTCAGTCAGTCAGTCAGTCAGTCAGTCAGTCAGTCAGTCAGTCAGTCAGTCAGTCAGTCAGTCAGTCAGTCAGTCAGTCAGTCAGTCAGTCAGTCAGAGAAAGACACCTTCGTAGAAGCAGTGACGGGGTTCATGAAATGAGAACAATCATACTCTTGAGAATTCTCAAAAGTAAAATCCACACGTATAGAAGAATCACCTTGATGAGCTCGAGGCATCGCAGCAGATCCCCCGGCGGGCACGGCACGACCTGGGGGCGTGATGAGAGGGGATGTGATGAGAGGGGATGTATGGATGCGGACGAGGGTGAGGAGATGGAGGAGGGTGAGGAGATGGAGGAGGGTGAGGAGATGGAGGGTGAGCAGACGAGAGCATGGGAGAGAAAGAGGACAATACGGGAGAAACGGGAGAAGAAGGAAGGAAGGGCGATGGGGAGAGAAAATGATAAGAAAAGCAGGAGACGAGGAGGGAGAAAAGGGAGAGACAGAACAGGAAAGAAGAGCACACAACACAGACAGCAACCACAGCACGTCAATGCACCTGACCAAGCAGCACGTCAATGCACCTGACCAAGCAGCACGTCAATGCACCTGACCAAGCAGCACGTCAATGCACCTGACCAAGCAGCACGTCAATGCACCTGACCAAGCAGCACGTCAATGCACCTGACCAAGCAGCACGTCAATGCACCTGACCAAGCAGCACGTGCTGTAAAACAGACACAACAAACAGATCAGACCATCGGCAAGCAAACAGATCAGACCATCGTCTCGACAAGGCGAGAAGCAGAAAAGGACTGAAACAGACGGGAAAAAAGGAGGAAAATCTTGTTCAAGCTGAAATGAGTGGTGGTGCCGGCCGGCGACAATGGAAAGAAGTGCCAGGCTCACAGGAACGCGCAGAGCCGCGTGCGTGAACGGCCATGATACCCTCCCTCTCCCCCACACCCTTCTCCCCACTTCCGTCTGACTGACAAAGCTAAGGGTGAAAGCAGCAGAGCACAGGCGAGGCACTCACAGCAAAGCGCGCCCTGAGCTTGGGAAGAGCCACCAGGCGCACGCCCCCAATTCCCTGCGCCCTCCCCCTGATGGCCTCCGCATCTCCCCCTTCCACCTCCATTCCCTGCCCCGCTGCTGCTTGGGCGCCCGCAGACTGCAAGGGAAACGGGAGGGGAAGAGGGGGTGGGATGAGGTGAGATGGGTTGAGGATTTCGGGGAAAAGGGGGAGGGGGGAGAGGAAGAGAAGAGGGGATATAAAAAAGGGAAAACCAGAAAAAAGAAAAGGATGGAAGAGGAAAAAAAAAGGAGAAAAGGAGGGAAGAGGTGAGGGGGAAGGGTGAGAGAGAAGGGTGAGAGAGAAGGGTGAGAGAGAAGGGTGAGAGAGAAGGGTGAGAGAGAAGGGTGAGAGAGAAGGGTGAGAGAGAAGGGTGAGAGAGAAGGGTGAGAGAGAAGGGTGAGAGAGAAGGGTGAGCACAACGTTTGAATAAAAACGACGACAGACTGCTACGGGGCACACGGTACGACACAAGGCATGGTTGGGGTGGGGGAGGTATGGAGGTGGAGAAGGGGAGGTCGGGGAAGGGAGGTGGAGGAGGGGATAGCAGAATAATTCAAAAGAAACATGCAAAAAAAAAAAAAAAAATGTCAACACATGAAAAAAAATATATATATAACCCCTAAGGGGCATCTGATGTAAGCAGGGACCCACCTGAGAGGCACCTGAGGCAGAGCATGCCTCAACGAACGTATCTGCCAGGTGAGCCACGTCCACCTGGCGAGATAAACCAATCAGCAGCTGCCACGCACAGGGGTGGGGGGCGGGAAAACAGTGGAGGGAGGAAACAAGAAGAGAAGGGGGGGAGGGTGGGGAAGGCAGGGGAGCAGGGGTGGGTTGCCAGGTAAAGAGGTGACTTTTGAGTCGACTCAAAAGGAAAGAGGTAAAGTCACCAGGGGAGCGGGGGTGGGTTGCCAGGTAAAGGAAAAGAGCGGAAGGAGTGGAGTGGAGACGCGGAGGAGTGGAGGCATTGGAGGGACCCACCCATCCCATTCCCACGTGGATCAAACCCCACTTGACTCACTGGAGGGGTAGGTAAGTGCTTTCACTGAATCACTGAGCCTAGTGATTCGCGGCAGTGTTCAGTCAATAAGCCCGCTTGACTCGAGGGCAGTTTCAGTGAGCGTAGCGAGCTAGGGAGGGAGGGGAGGTTGTCAAAGGTACACAGGACTGGAGGGACTCACCATGGCAGGGGAGGTCACCTCACTGCAACACCTGAGGGGGACTCAGTCAGGGGGGTCGCTGAACATGAGAGAGGCACGTTAAAGCCAGGGTCTCAAGTGACCAAGTGCTTTGCAGTCGATGAAAAACGGGCCTGTCTGATTGGTTTACAAATTTGGGGCCAAAGTTTTGACAAATCGAGACTCTCCAAAAAGCCCACTTTTCGCCCAAGTGCTTTGCAGTTGCACGGCCAACCCTTACATGAGACCCTGGCTTTAAGTTACCACGATGAGATGATGACCCAATGTCATGTCAGTCAGCTCACAAGAGGGTTCGTTCACTCACGTCCCTTACCCTGCCTGCCCCCACACTTTCATTCATTATTTCACCCCGGTCCGGTCCCCGACTTACCAATTTCACCTCGCCTCGCCCCTTAAGAATGACCGACCCTCCCCTGCGGTTGTACCTTGCCTCACCTTGCCTCACCTTGCCTCACCTTGTCTCACCTTGCCTTGCCCCACACCACAGACTCTCCTCACAGCCGCTTCAAGCTCCACTCCACTTTCCCTGACCTCCGCTCCCCTCGGCGCAGAGGCCCGACTCGCAATCTTGCAGATTTCAACTCACCTGGGCACTGACCGAACCGAATCAGCATTGCAGATAAGAAAGAACATGCCTGGCTCGTGTCGTGCCTGCGGGGCAGGGCAGGGCAGGGCGGCTCACCACGACGCGGGGTGGCGTGAAGGAAGCAGAGAGCGCCCGCTTGGCCGCCAGCACGCTTGCTCGCTTGCTGTCCCTCAGCTAAAAGGGAGACGACAGGGAGTGGGGTGGGGAGAAGGGGTTGGGAAAGAGGGCGTGAGAAGGGATGAACGGGGAAGAGATGAGGGGGTGGAAAGAGGTCACTTGGCCGCCAGCACGTCCCCACGCTTCCTGTTCCGCAACTGAGAGTGAGACGACAGGGGGTGGGGTGGGGGAAGGGAGGGGAAGGGTTTAACGGTAGCACATTGGCTTATGGTTAAGTGATTGAGGGCGCGCGGAGAGAAGGGGGATGGGGATGAAGAGGAGAGGAGAATAGAAGTTGGCGACAGGAGCCCTAAACCCTGAATCTTAGATACCAGTAGTGTAGAACCAATTCACCGGCCAAAGACTTAAGCCCTGAACCCCCGCTCCGCCTCACTCCTGGTGGCCCATCTCCACGGGACACAAAAGCCCTCGCGTCACGTGATCGCTGTAGCAGCAACGAGCACAAGCAAGCAAGCAAGCAGCACCAAGCTGCTCCGCCCTTGAAGCGCCACTGCCAGCGCCGCCAGGGGCTGCAGCTCTACCCTCTCATCTGCCCCGCTGGCCTGCCCCGCTGGCCTGCCCCGCTGGCCTGCCCCTTTTGCGAGCCCTCCCCTCACTTAGCCTACCCCCTTGGTGAGCCCGCCTCCCTGGTGAGCCCGCCTCCCTGGTGAGCCCGCCTCCCTGGTGAGCCCGCCTCCCTGGTGAGCCCTCCTCCTTATCTGCCCGTCTGCTCTGCTTTCCTGGCCTCCTGGCATGCCCTCTCTCCCCGTTACGAAACTCTAGCTATGCGAACTGCTGGTAACCCTATCGTACCAGCTTGTTGCGGTTGAGCCTTTCCGCCTTGGCGACGGCGCCATGGCCCTTCCCCTTGCCCTTCGCGCCCCCGCGCGCTGCCCCTGCTGCTCCGCCGTCTGACGCTGGGGGCGGAATTTGGGAGAAAGCATTTGGGGGAAAGCATTTGGGGGAAAGCATTTGGGGGGATCCAACCGCGTCCAGGTGAGAGGGCAAAACGCGCAACAACGAACGGGTTTTCGTTTGGAGCAAAAAAACGTTCCCCAGGGAGCGAGTGGGTATCCCGTGACGAGCGGTGCTAGAAGCTGGAAAACAACCGACTGGTTATGCTGACGCTCGCGGTCGTATGCCGTATTCGCCATTGAGAGTAACGTCGTTGTAAGCGGCACAGCGAGCGAAAGCGAGAGGATGCGCCCTTGGCGATGCGGTGACGTCACAAGAGAGGCGCGGCGAACGGACGAGCGCTAGGATCCCACCCTTGGTGACGAGGTGACGCTCGAGTCGAATATTGAATGGACCGTTGCGGCGACCTAAATGCGAGCGGACGAGCTGCACTACGAGCGACACTACGAACGACACTACGAGCGACACTACGAGCGACAGTACCGGCGACACTGCGGGCGACACTACGGGCGGCACTATGGGCGACACTATGGACGACACTACGGGCGGCACTACGGGCGTACCCTTGGCGACCTTGTGCAACGAGCGTTGGCTCTTGGCGCCGAACCGCGACTTGTGAGCCTTGTTCTTCTGCGTCCTCGCGCCGCCGCCCGTCATGGCGACACTGGCTTGATCCCCGCTAGCTACTTATAAGAGGCTCGCCTGCAGCTAGATCTGCACCTCTGCTTGTACCACGTCAGGGCGGAACGCGGTACCACCAGGGATCTGAACAAGTCTGATAAGCCCTCGCCTCGGGTTTCGGGTTTTTGCTGTTTCACCACAGGGAGGGAAGGCATGACAAACAGACCTACACTTACACGGGTGTTACATCTTCTGAGAGCTGTTTACAAGAGTGAGAAGAATATAATGCAATAAATAAAAAGGATTTTGTAGGAGAGCTCGTCCTCTAACCGGGGCTAAAAATTAATCGCCAAACATATAGGAATGCTCTTTGTTACTCCTACATCATAAATGTAAACCTTTATTTCCCTGTAATTTCACATCCTCTTTGGAAATATATATATATATGCATATATACATACATACATACATGTATACGTATATATACATATATGCGGCTCGGGGTTTTACACTTATGAACATAACTTAATACCTAGCTCCACCTTGGGCGTGTTTTCTTGGGCTGAGAAAAGCACTTGGGATCTTTCAAGGCTAAAACTCTTAATAGGGATGTTGTAATTGCGAAAGCTTGTACCAATAGCAGTTAACTAAAACAAAAGGAGATACAAGCTTTTATACGATTACAAGAGAATACGAAAGGTTTTAGTTAACTGCTATTGGTAAGTGTAATTGTAACTTCTGCTGTTGCGGTTCGATACAGCGACGACTCGGGCAACTGCTCAATAACGATTCATTTGTTTGTCCTTGCTGTCTCGTTGTTTTTGTCGAGTCAAAGGTCGTTCACCTTTGACCTTCGCGTTGTCAAACATTATATGTTTATATGATTGTAGGCTGTAGTGGGTTACACCTTAGGGGGTACACTAGATTAGGGTTTACTACTTGTATCCAACTTTGTGCTAGTACAGTCATTCCTGTCCGTTCATTCTGACATGGTTTCAGTGTTAGAATCTAGCAGGAATGGATGAACTAACAGGATGCAGGAGTACAAGTAGTAAACCCTAACTAGGTTGTACCCCATATGGGCTACCCCACTACAGCCTAGACAATATGCAGCACATATAGTTTGACACACCCCCATAGGCAAAGTGGGGGAGAACAAGGGGTCACACGACCAGTCAAGAGAAGCAAAACAAGCTCAGGGTGGATCACAACGTCACCACGCATTCTGAGCACAAGCAAAGGGCCACTGGGCCAGTTCACATGCAGAGATATATATGCAGCAATAACAGTACAGTGATGGCTACCTAGCAAGAGCCAGCATGCATATATATATATATAGATCACAGTACAAGCAGAGACTACAGCAAGTGTGGAAACGTAGGCACAAGGCCTAACAGAGTACAAAAGCGCTGATGATCACCAGACGGAAGTGCCTTGGTGAATATGTCAGCAGTGTTGGCCCGAGTGGCCACGTGGCGAAGACGAAGCTGGCCTCGCTGCTGCAACTCTCGAGCCAGGAAGTACCGCAGAGCAATGTGCTTCGTTCTGTGCTCCAGTCTGTGCTCCTCACACAAGGCAATGGCGGCCTTGTTGTCAACGTACAGCACTGGAGGAGAACGAGGCTGCTCTCCCAAGTCAGTCAGCAGGTAGGTGAGCCAGCGTAACTCCTGTGCAGCCATGGCGGTGGCGTAGATCTCAGCCTCACAACTGGAGCCGAGAACTGAAGTCGAGCGTGTAGAACGCCACGAAACTGAACCAGAGCCAAGGCTGAAGGTGTAACCCTGTGACGACCGCTGAGTAGCCAGGTCGTCAACCCAAGAAGCGTCTGAGTGCCCAGTGAGGACAACTGGGCTCGTCCCTCCAAGCACTAGCCCCATGCCTGATGTGCTGCACAAGTAACGCAGTACCCTCTTAGCAGCAGCCATGTGCTCAGGTCGGTGCCGACCAGGAGCCACGTAGCGAGCCAGGAGACCAAGAGGGTACGCGAGGTCAGGTCGAGTGCAAGTCATCAGGTACATGAGGCAGCCGACTAGCTCTGGGTAAGGACCACTCGACTCTACGGACTCGTCCGAAGGTGGAGCTGAGAGCGTGTGACCTGTAGCCAGAGGAGTGGCCTGTGCTGAAGACCAGGTGAAGCCGAAGCGCTGAAGGACCTGCTGCACCATGTGTGACTGAGTCAAGGTGATGGTGCGACGTGCTCTGTCTCGGGTGATCTGCAAGCCAAGGTAGCTGCGCAGCTCACCCAAGTCTGTGCACGTGTGTCTCTTCTGCAGCTCCGACTTCACGTGGGTGAGAGCCTCAGTGTCAGCAGTGGCAAAAACCAAGTCGTCGACATACACGAGGATGTAGAACGGCGGCAGGGAAGTGTCGGTGCGCAGAAACAGCGACGGGTCAGCAGTAGAAGGCGCAAACCCAAGAGCCGCAAGCGTAGTCCTCAGTGTGTCGTGCCACTCACGTGGCGCCTGGCGGAGACCGTAGACCGGCCGCCGGAGGCTCCACTGGGTACCAGGAGGGAACGACCCAGTGAAGCCCGGGGGGCGGCGCAGCCAGATCTCCTCGTGCAGGCTGCCCTGCAGGAAAGCTGTGCTGAAGTCAAGAGAGTGAAGCTCGTAGTCACGGTGAGCAGCAACGTGCAGCAGCACCCGAAGAGTGGTCATCTTCGGGGTGGGGGAGAAGGTCTGGAAGAAGTCAACTCCCTCTCGCTGACTGAAGCCTCGAGCCACGTAACGCGCCTTGAAGACAGGCGGAGAACCCGGCGGCCGCTTCACCCTGAAAATCCACATGCCACTGACGATGTTCGCCCCAGGTGGGGGAACCTCGTCAACGTAGGTGCCTGTGGACTTCCAGGAAGCCATCTCTGCGTCCATGGCTGCCTGCCACTGAGAGGAGTAGGGACCCTCTATCGCCTCTGCGTAAGAGCGCGGAGTCGGGATGTCTGGTGCATCCGGGTCTCCCTCAGGGGCAAGTAGCGAGGACACAAGATGAGGTAAAGCAGCAGCAAGACACTGGAACTCCTCCTGCCTGTCCTCAAGGACGTCCGTGCTAAGAGCACACTCACCCCCGACGGACGGAGGACAGATAGACTCAGACTCAGTAACAAGACTGGCAGTGAAGTCTAGACGACAGGCAGCAGCAAAGCCAACAAGCTCAGCGACAAGAGCAGACGCAGCAGCAGACTCAAACGACGGGTCAGTGACAGCAGTGGCTAACAGACGCGTGACAGTAGGGTGCTCAGCACGAAACCGGTCAGACGCAGGGTCCGGAACGTGAGGCAAAGAGGACGCAGGAGGAGACGGCAGAGGAACAGGCTGCGGAACAGAGGAAGGACGACGGACTACGAGGTGTGCGCTGGGGACAGCCGGCGGACGCGAACGAGGAACACGAGGACCGGTACGACCAGGACGAGCAGGCGAGACAGGACGCGACGCAGGCTCACGACGCACAGCAGGACTACCAGTCAGCTCAGCGTAAGGAGAAGGAGCAGGCAGCGGCGAGCCAGTCTGTAACGGAAGACCAGTAGACGACGGAAGAGTAAGAACCTGACGAAGAACAGAGGCAGACGGCGGCAGAGACGACGGAGACGGCGGAGCGAAGAACAGTCGTGTCGGCGCAGCTGCACCAGAACCAGCAGCTCCAGCAGCTCCAGTGCCTCCAGCAGCTCCAGTACCTCCAGCAGCTCCAGTACCTCCAGCAGCTCCAGAAGCTCCAGGCCCAGAGCCGACACCTCGAGTCCCAGGGTCTCCAACCTCTGTGTCTCCAGCAGCAGCACCCCCAGAACCAGCACCTCCAGTCCCAGGGTCTCCAACCGCAGGGTCTCCAGCAGTAGCACCCCCAGAACCAGCACCTCCAGCTCCAGGGTCTCCAACCTCAGTGTCTCCAGCAGCAGCACCCCCAGAGCCAGCACCTCCAGTCCCAGGGTCTCCAGCCTCAGTGTCTCCAGCACGAGCCCCTCCAGAACCAGCAACTCCAGCACCTCCAGTAGACAAAGGACCAGCACGACTCCGAGCTCCAGCAGCGCGACGCTGACGGCGACCGTACCAGTCCTGCAGCTGCTGTGGGGTGAGAGGCACACGGGGACGAAGGCGGCCACTCCAAGGAGACCGCGCAACAGCAGACTCAGAACCCTCAGCGCCCGCACCCCCAACGGCTCCAGAACCTCCGGTGTCAGTACCCTCAGCACCAGTACCTCCAGCGACTCCAGAACCTCCAGCGCGAGCACCCTCAGTAGCTCCAGAACCTCCAGCGTCAGTACCGCCAAGCTCAGCACCCCCAGACCCCTCACACGCAGGCTCAGCACCACCAGGCTCTACACCCTCAAGCTCCGCACCCTCAGGCTCAGTACCCCCAGACTCAGCACCCCCAGGCTCCGCACCCCCAGGCTCAGTACCCCGAGCAGGACCACTCGCAGGAGGACCTGAGTCACCAGTGACCTCAACCGGCGCAGTCAAGGGAGGAAGGTCTACCTGAGAAACACCTGAAGGAGCAGGACCGGGAGCGGAGAGGGGGTCTACCTGGGGAGCACCTGGAGCAAGGAAGAGCGGCGGGGGGGGGAGCGGGGCAGTGCGGTAGGGGAAGAGACGGTAAAAGGGAACCGACTCGTCGAACGTGACGTCCTGAGACGCAAAGACACGGCGCGAGGTGGGGTGGTAAAACTGCCAACCAGGCGCGTCAGGGACAAAGCCAAGGAAGACACAGGGAACAGCGCGGGCGGAGAGCTTGTCCGCGGTGGTATCGCGGACAAAGGCACGAGCACCCCAGACCCGGAAACGCGACGCATCGCCAACCTTCCCCGTCCACAGCAGTGTGGGCGAGGTCTCCGGCAAGGAGACACGGGGCCAGAGGTTGAGCTGATGCGCGGCGTACCGGACCGCAAACGGCCACAGAAAATGGGGGGCAGCCGCATGGATCATGGAGGTACGAGCGACCTCCATGACTAAGCCAATGCGGCGCTCAGCAACCCCATTCTGCTGCGGAGAGGCCGGAAGCGTGAACGACTGGGTGATGCCGTGCTCCGCACAGTAGGCTGCCAAGAGGTC